CGATAACTGCTACTCGGGTGTCATAAGGATTGCTCTCTCAAGCTATTAAATCTGACGTTGACTGCAGTAGTTACTAATCCTTCTAGATACCTAGAAAAGTCATCCATACAATCATCGCACATCTTATTCTACTTGAATATGGAATGCAGATTATGGTCCAATTCACAAAGCTGAGTACAAACCGAACCCTCTCCATCATCAAAATCAGTGAAAAGTTAGCTTAAATATGTCGATTTTATGCGCTGATGTCAGATAGCAATCGACATTGCATGAAAAGTGATGAAGCTTTTCAACCCGACCTGATTAGGGATTCGTCTAAGACGTTAGAAAAAGTATCCAAGTGACTCACCTTTTAACAAGTCACTTTTATTCATGAATAGGATGATAGAAACATTCGTAAACGCTCGATTGTTGACAATAGTCTCGAACACGGATCGTGACTCAACCACCCGGTTTGTTCTGCGGTCTTCGAGTATCACCTAAATACGGTACAAGGTTTATGGCGGTTTTATTGCGAAATGTGATACTTCTTCTTTAATGCTTCCATCCGGAAACCGGAGAAAGCTGCTCTACAAATCACTTCACAAAGACCTTTCGACAAACCGTACCTGATCATACTCGTTTGAAGCCACCATAAATAATATACTAGTAATATCAGTAAAACACTGAAACCATTTTTGCCGCTGAGATCTTTGGCCACCAACATCAATAAACCTGAACGTTCAACATTTCAAGTACATTAACATTGGTCTTTATTAGGCAGAGATTAAGTCGTACCTAAAAGGAATCTTATTGATAATAAAGGTATGCTCGCATATTCCTCGAGTTGCCTTTCGGCAATATAGAATATCCTTATTCGTGGGATGAAAGTTAGGCATGGCAATTCTGCTGAGATGATCGAAAAAATATTGACAAGAGTCACTCTAAATGTAAGAGGGGTAAGTTATGGCTAGATATTGCAAGGTATCTCAAAAACCATACAATCTGGAACAGGTTTCGTTGTTCAAACGCTTGCTTGACTGCAGCATCATCCCAAAAATCTTGAATAACAGGAGCAACATCGGCAAATGTTGTGTAATCTATTCCTTTCAGAAGATCGGCCACAGTAAATCTTGAAAATTATCAGAACTAATTCTTATTAGAATCTAACATTCAAACTACTTACTTCATAATTTTATTCACATTTTGCTGCCTTTCAGCCTTCTCCCAAGGTATATTCAGCTTATTTCTAGCATCCAGTAATACTCTCATCGCGGATATGGCATTCTGAAGCAAAAAAATATAGCTAACAATATTAAATTCCTTCCAAGCTATAATGATCTGCTAAATTCTTTATATCTGAGGTTAGCGTCATAAGAGTCATCACATCACAACATTACAAGGCAATATCGGAGATGTATCACTTTTTTGGGTTTGTCAAATGATAGCGGTTGTTTCTGATCGAATTTCGGAAAACAAAG